ATAGCCGTAAGTCGTTTTTGAACTTCGACCCAATTAACGATAACCATTCTTAAAGTACAGTCTCCGTCCTAAATCTAATCGGAAACAAAGAAAAAGGTCGTTAACACTGCTGCATCAATATAAAATGAAGCTACCTGCTAATAATAATACATTTACAACTTGGACAAATGGTGTTCATATATAGTACGTTCAGAATGATCGATTGGGAAATCATTAGCTTCTATATGAAAATCCTTTTCGGAAATCAGTAGTGCGCCCCAAGGATTTCCAGCTGTCAAACGAAACGCACGTGTACTGTCGATAAGCGTCAACCGAGTGTCAACAAAAAAAAAAACTGGCAATAAATACACGAACAATGCTAATAACTTACTCTTCGTTCGACATGAATAAAACAAAATGCGAATTTCAATAGAAGCTTTAAGCAAACTACTAAAAAAAAGGAACTAAGAAAAAAGAATAAAAATATATAATCAACTGAGTATACAGCCGCGAATGGAAGCAGAGTATTACAGGGGTACCAGGCGAAATGCAAAAAATTCATTCGTTATGTAATATCGTTCAAAGAATAAAAATATAATATTTTATCGGGACCCTATGGGTACGGTGAAAGCTTCGCTGTTGAATCGCACAATTCCACATTGAATGACACAGTAAAATATAACTTGTGTTAAAATATAACAAAAAAAGTGAATCAACAAATCACAAAAGGATATGTGGTCGTGATCGAAATGTGAATAATTATATTAATTTTCTTAAACGGAGAAAATAATTCGACTCGAAAGTTTTCGCGGAGCCTTCTCCAAAGTAGCTCTCGAAATTCCAAACTGTCGGGCAAGCGTCCGCGTAAGAGGCAACGTGCGAGGTTGACCCTGATTACAGCGATACGTTTGGTTCCTATCTACAGTGGATTGGGATTCGTGCCGCGCGAAAGTCAGCATCCTCCTCGGCAATCGGAACCATCAAGGGCTTGAATGATGGTGACGTTCAAATAATTCTACGAGAATTTATTATCCCGAATATAGGAAAGCGCCACGCTGATGGATCCGCATTCTGCATTCTGCACTGTATAAACGATCCTTGCGGTCTGACTGGGAGTTTGAATTATAAATTCCATTCAAAGATTAAACCAACCCCGACTCATAGATAAGTTGAGAACAAAGGTATCACCCTGTACATATATATATATATGCACGTATATCCAGATATACCCAGCATTCCAAATCGTTAAGTGAGTAAATGGTACGTTTTATAGGAAAATTAAATAAATTTACATGATACCGCATACGTACACGAAGCAATAAACTGTTGAGCTACGTATAATTACGAATAATCAATTATCGTTTACGTCAATTATTCAAGCAAATAAGCATCCCTACAGACCAATCAGATATAACCGATAATCGCTGATAAATTAACATATATACACGATATCAAAATTTCTTCTTTTCTTTTTTTCTAATACCACCGACCCTCAATCGGATATCAAAGAGTCACAAGACAATAAATATATAGTACTGATAACAAGTGTCGCACGATTTGTATACGCTTTACGAATCCTAATCACGTGCAATCCTAATCCGCAAAAAAAAAAAGAGGCGCCAACCACTTTCTTACCATTTCTCATCGAGCTAAGAATTTCAAGCACGTAATTCACCTTGCGTAATAACAGAGATACTTTAGCCACGTTTATTAAAGCTAATATCCAGCACAGTCGTACGTGTTTCCAGCGTAAAGTCCCGAGAACGGCGAATAGACAAATTTCACTCCTTCGCGTTAGCCCTTAACCCCGAATCCCTAAAAGGCGAGTGATGACAGAATAAAAAAAAAAAATTTTATCAAGTCAAAAAAATGCACCGTCCCTCGTGACAGGTCGAGCAGGTGTATTGCGCAATCGCCACGTGAAATTACATCGTGATTCGTACACAATTAAACCCGCACTCTGTCGTACCAATTAAGCATGATCCCTTCCGTCAAAGAACATACGTATATACGAGACCCCCTGTACACAGCTACGTATAAATGCTCCATGGAAGAGATGCCCACAAATCGTGTGTACGCAGAGAAAGACAACGTAGTGCAACGAACCGCAAGGCGATTTCTCGGACATTGCGAAATATGGCTTTTGCGAAATTTGAATATACGTAGAGTCGACCGTAACCAGCAGTGATATCGATTTTCATGAGAGAGTAGCATGGCACGCGATCGAACGGGGCAATGGTAAACACAACCTGCTGTCAAACGGGCCATACGTCTAATACCTAAAATACAGGGTATTACGGGTATCATTGCATTCTGTCAATGGATTATTAAGTAATACGCGATACAAAGTGAAACCCCTGTAATAAGGCTTGGGAAAGGAACAAAAAAAAATTGATCCTTCCTCGTCCTCAACATTTTTTTATACCATCGACTGGCCAAGTGCAACGTGCCGATGCACAGGTCGCTTGCATACGGTAGATACGACCAGACGTCCTATCGCTTAATGAAATCGGAAAATTAATTTCCATCTTCGACGCGATCAGCTACGCGAACTTTCCAGTCGTCGAACTTACGAGCGACATCGTTCTCGTGAAAGTATTATGGGTCGCTTCGATGCATGCGAATCTTAATACGTGTCGAGTGGGTAATCCTTGTTGTCAACTAAGTAGAGTCGACTGTATATAGTGTGTGTATAGTATTATGTCACTGGTATATCAGATGTATATTACACCCTGTGGATTTTATCAACCACCCCCCCCTTCCTTCCCCCGCCGACGACAACCCCCCTCTCACTTACTAAAATCTTCAAACATCCGCTCGATGGGTCTTACAATTTTTCAATAAATCTGGAGGCTCCTTGTTTTTCCATGTACAACCTACTCGCCAAAAGTTCCCACTTTGATACTTTCAAATAGATAATACACGTATGATACTCGTAACGGAAGCTGACTTCACCAGGAAGTGCAACACGCTGTTATATCATCCCCGCCTGCTATCCCCCTCATACGTCTTGTAAATTGTTGCACGATTATGTCACGAGTGTGCGAATATATATGTTTGCATTCCAGGAAGGAAAGCAATATCTGCACTGCGCTAATCGATAAAATAAATGTACTTGGGGTATACGGTATTAATGACGGGGAAATAAGTTACACCCTGTATAAAAAAAAAATTTAAGAGGAATATCATTTCTGGGGTTGAATATCTCTATTTGACGATGTACGTTGGCTGTATGTATAGTATGCTTGAATATAGCTCGATATTGTATTCGATAATTGCATTGAACGATTATTATTATTATTAAGGGACAATTAATATTTGTATTTTATGGGTAGATTTTTCGAATACTGAAACATCTTGAACCGAGGGCTTTAGATTTTGGCGATGTATATAATTTGAGAAAGTGGATGGAGACGTAAGGTCTCTTGACATTGAATTCAATCAAAGCGTCTTTACGGCTCGGTACACTTAATCCACTTTATTGGATACAAAAGTTTTCTAGCGAATCTCCAAATTTCATCAATTTCAGGAGACCGAGCCTATGGACGCTATTAGACAAGTATCGGAGTCTGTTTAGGTCCGATCGCCGAAATGACAATCAAGACAATTAATTAATTACTACGGTAACGCTGCACTCGGGATTTTCATGCAAACTGGGATTCACGTCAAATTTTATAAATGACGCATTGGTCTATTTATATACATATATTTTTTAATCCTGCAATTAACTCCATTTCTTCGAAAGGATAATTTCAGTGAAGTACCCGTTATCACACTACCCTGATTCGCATTCATTTAATACTCGTTTCCTGTGCATGGTATACATTTTTTTTTATATTTATGTAAAAAATCTTTACTTATGGAGGGTCAGCCCTGGCGGAAGCTCAGTCGAGAGGTATTTATTTTAGAGAAGAAAAAAAACAGCCAGACGAATTAAGAGCTTTCAATTTTTTCTTTTTTTTTCTTTCTTTTTTTTCCCCTGGAAAAGCCATTATTACTTTTTGTGACAAATATATGTCCTATATTGGACAAATATAATATCGACAGACTAATAACATAATCGATAGATCGCTCACGTTCCTTGGGAAAATGTATTATTTGCACCAATCCTTCAGATGAATGTGACTCAACAATCGCAATTATTATATGTATATCATCGTCTGACAGATGACAGCCAATTTTCGTGTAACAAGAAACGCCATAATTGTTTATGATTGTATGATAAAAAAAAAAATGTAATGGAAAAATAGAACACACGAGTTAGGAAAACGTAATCAATCGGATTTTGCATAATTTCTTTTTTTTTACTTCGTCTTATCTTCATCCAACTAGCTTCACTGTGTCAATCGCTAGCTATCATGATTACAACGTGCTCCAAACAGATATGTATATAGGTACTATATAAAAAGACTCGAGAACAAATTTACTCCGATAAGTTAAAAACCAGCGAGTTAACATCAACCGCAAAAATAAAATTCGAAAGTTACCCCATGACCTACCCCCTAAGAATTTCATGACTTCCGAGCAACAGATCGTATGTCAATACGACATAACAGTCGTCGTAAACTTCCTACCAGCAGACAAAAATTTTCGTTATCTATTCAATATTCAAAAAGCCTGTCCACTTGTCTGTAAATTGACAACATCAGTTACTTTAACCTGTCACGTAATTCGCATAACGTAGAGCCACGTTTTCACTCCCCATAGAAACTTTCACGGCCTATCAATAAACCATCAGCCATTTCCAAGGAAGAAACGAACTTTGACATTTCCTCGAAAAGCAAGTAGTACCCGAAGTCAAAATTTAATAAAAATTCAAATAATTCTCTCACGTCACAGCATCGATTTGACATAAAAGAAGAACCTCCACTCACGTGATAAAACAAACTTAGAGCAATCACGAGCTCCAATAATCCACCGTCGCTTTGCCTTTCTTCAAAATTGTCTTTCAGTTTTTCTTACCCTCCGCTCGAAAAGAAAAAAAAAATTCTTCATTTCACAAATATACGAACGGTACTCACCAATAATTTCGGGCTTCACCCCAATCAGCAGAGTAGTCACAAGAAGAAGGGACACGAGTCGTCGGCAGGATCTAACAGCGCGTATCGTTCCCATCGCGGCACACGTCTAAGTGTTGCGCGTGTCGCGTCACGACTGAAGTTCTGCCGTGGCGCGTCTCTGTATATTCGCCACTCTAGACGTAGCTCTCCGCCCCACCATACTTGCCAAAGCATCCCGCCACCCCCAGCAGCGCGCCGCCTGCCGGTACGGAGGAAGGGTTTCAAGCCGACGATACGCGCCATCCAACCCTCTTGACGCTCCTCGCTCTCGTTGCGCCTCCGATGCCAATGCCTGCCCGTGTGTATATATACTCAATATAAATATATACATATATACAAACAATGTACTCACCGTCAATCGTTTCTATCGTACGAGCCCCTGCAGCTCCCTTCAGACTGTATGTACAGTTTCAGGGGTTACGATACGGGTCAGACTGCAGGTCACGCTCGACCACACATGGTCCATGTCGATTCTCCCGTATATCGTGACATCGGCATGTGCTAACTTCGACCCTCGTACGCGACATGCGACGGTTCCGGAAGATCCGAGTCCGTGGGAAGATTTATCTAGGGGAATCGAGACGCCGGAGGATAATTGCAACGATAAAGTTAGCTAAGCACGCAGCATTTGCGAATCTCTAGAACGCGATAGGTATACGTACCCCTGTAGGTAGATAGTTGAATAAGGTAAATAAACGTGAATTACATTGTATGTCCTATAGAAAAGTCATGAAGGTACTAAAATCGTACCTGCCACTCCGACTGAGCCGAAGAATGTAACTTATGCTTCTGGAATTCGGAATCCTCGTTGACACTCACGACTCTGAATCACAGAATGGGATGATATTAATACAAAAGTGTTGAGAGAGATACTCTGTACTCTTGGTACGAGATACTCGTTATTCCGTATAATATTCGGAATTAATTGCCCGGGGCTAACGGGTACTTTGTCTTGTCGTACGTATATGAAAAGAATATAATGAAAGCTCGGAATCGCGTGTCTCGGAATAAGCGCCGGACTCGTTAAGACATGATTAAAGAAACGCCATTTAATACGTACCGAGTAATAGCACGTAGGATATTAGTCTCAGTCGAAATATTTAATAGACATTTTACAGGGTGTAAGTACGTGAAGTGTACGTAAAATTATTCAACGTACCACTATGAAATATAAGTTTGATTTCTTAGTCTCCTCCTACGTAACCTCGAAATCTTTCACTCGACCGAATCGGATGGTTGTCTTGAGTGCACGGAGGCTTGTCGGTGCTTACACTTTTTTCTTTCTACTCCTCGTTCATCCACAATGCACTCGCGGGACATTTGAAAAATGATTAGACATCCTTAGCAGAGGCTTGCAATGGGCCTGGTGCATCTCGCGCCGGACGACGGATAATTCTTTAACGTCAGTGTGAAACGATTTCTGCAACAGACTTTCCCTACGCTCGCAGTTAGCCGTAGCCGAGCCAGACAAATGGTTCCTTCCTATGCCGCTTGGCGGCGGCAGCGGCGGACGGTGCTGGAGACACGGCGTGGAAATGCGACGTGTGAGTCGTGCAAGTAAGAATAAGTGAAGCCAGTCAAGTTGAGTGTCGGGCGTATTCCCTCAAATCCTTCCAAACAATACGAGCGGCAGACATTTCTTGGTCGTAGGATTGAAGTAGGTCACGACCTGAGGGTTCACACGTGTTCGCGTATGTGCGCGCGTGTCCCCTGCTGCTTTTCTTTATGCAAAGGAAACTCTTCGGGTCATGCGGATAGATGGCAGCTGAGGTAACTAGGTATCTGGACATGTGGTACTCTAGGGAATTTGTGTTTTCCTTACTCTTGAAAAGACGTCCTAAAAGTTCTCATGGAAATTGGCCAATGATACTGGCAGAGTCGGCTGCACTTGAATATATTTTGGTATGAGATTTCGTCTTTCTATTATTGGACCGCGAGTGAAATTCCGAGACAATGCCGTGTATCCTTTATGCTTTTGCAGGAAGAACACGGGACAGCTACCCTCGTATTTATTATTAGCAAAGGTGGGTAAAAGTCGAGACTGCGAAAGACTCGCGGACGCGAATTCTCACGTTTCCAATTCTTCGTTAACACTGAAGGGTAACTAATTGCAGAGACGAGGGTCGGTCTTGGTGGGTCGTGAAATTGCCGCTCCAATGGAAAGGAACCAAGCAGACACTACATAAGCACGAGAAACCTGCCATTTCCTAGATGCCCAACTATACAGACATCTTTTGTTTGCACGCAACTATAATTCTAAACAAATAAACTCGCCGACGAAAGGTTTTATTTCGCTAATAACATCGTTTCACTTCAATTCCCAGTACACCGAATGTTTTTCGTAACCGTCGGCTAAGAGAGTTTCACTCGACTCAGCCAGTTTTCCGTACTGAAATTCAACGTAAGTTTAATAAGTTCTCTTCTACATTTACCCACGTACTTATACAGTCCGTTTCAAATTAACGTTCCGAGACCACTCGAGATTTTAATCCACGTCTGACATATCCTCACCATAATGAAATCTGACACGTCCAGTGAATCACCCTGTACATACAAACTTTACAAAGAGTTACTAAAGGGCCACGCTGCTCAACCATGTTTCTATTAACCCGTATCGAAATTTCTAGAGATATCTTTCATACGCTTTATTTCTTTCTCTTGTTATTTATTTTTTTCCCTTTTTTGCGTATGCCCCAAGAGCTGCGAAAAATATATCTTGGCCGTCCGCTTTCATAAAACCTTAATCAAAATAAAATTAAATTACAGCGCATAGCGCAATTACATAAGATGCTCACAGGATGAGAATCGGCAGAACGGGACAGGGATAGGAAAGATGAACGAAGTGGATGAGAAAGAGAGAGACAGAGAGAGAATACATTACCTCGACATTGATTGACATTCGATTCCCCGGTAAGTCTGATGTAAAGGAAAAACATCGTTGCCGGCAAAATTTAAACTGTAGATGATATGGGTACACCTCCAAAATTATTTAGTACGTACCTACGTGCCAACGCAGACTACACCGTTCTACGTACAGGTAAAATGTTTTACATGGGTAAGACGTCAGGTATCAATCGAACATCGTCATTTCCAAATGTTATTCGAAAACCGTCTGCGAACACGTTAGACACTTTGACTTGCTAACTAGGTTAATTTGAATGTTTAAATTCCGTAGCCGTGCAACTCAATTTGTGAGGAGTCCGTGTCTGGTTAATTCCTTTCCTTCGTCCCTTCTGCCGACCTCTGACCTCAAACATTCCACCTTTCCAGCCAACCTCGCACTACTCTCCTCCCCTCGTTCCTCACGTATTTCTCTATGCTACCTAATTGGAGCTTTATTTTGCGGTTTATGGTACCGACGATTTTCCGAGCCACCCCTTTTTAACGGTCTTCATACTCCTTCTGATTAACGCGACCGACTCCAAAAACTGCAAATAAGAATCTTCGGCTCATAATTACCGCCACTCTCTGATACCTTCTTGTAAAATCGAAAAGCTACCCTAACACTTTTATTCATTGTCATTCATTTTTCTATAAGACTATTCAAGCTGAACTTACCAAATTAAGTCAACCACTCGGATTTCTATGCCAAAATCAATTTCGATTCTTGAGCTCGACTAACCCGCTATACGCGCTGTCTATTCATCGTTCAGATATTTTATTCAGAAGGTAACTTTATCATTTCGACTGTATCGCTCGAGCCTAAATAAGCATAAAGAGGGCGTCGAGCGTAGTTGACCGTAATTAGGGTGAACACAATTTTATACGACATACGTATGTTGTCACGACTGATATGTATAAACAATATATACATATATATACACGTACGCCTACTTATATTATATATAATTTAAGCATAATTATCGTTTTACGTATAATTGACACTTGTGTGTTATCAGTTCGCAAGAAGCTTCTTTCCCCTAAGTGGAAATGATATGTCATTTTGATAATAATTATAAATTACAATTTCGTTCGTTCCCGGTCAACTGATATCCACGTGTATTCATTTCACGTTACGCTCAGCAGGGACCATCCTTCAGCTTGTAGTAATCTGAAAGAATTTATTAATTTCAATAAATATCCAATATCAAACACTGCTTCTAATTTCAAGCGTCATATATTCACGTTCATTGATTTTCAAGTAATGTATCATGACTACAGTATACAAAGGTAGACTGGGGAAAAGATTGTTGTAATGAGAAAAATATAGAACGTTGTTTGCATAATGTTACCGTCGGAGTATGTTAATAAATATTGCATGTTATTATTCTCCTGAGAATAAGAGTGCAGTTAATTTAACTAGTAGAAGGTATCGTTGGACGGCGACATCGGTTGTACTTTGAGGGGCCATCTACTTACGAATCGAAACGCAAATAAGTCCCCTCAAAGTGAAACCGATGTCACGGTCTGACATACGATTTAATTAAGACCGTAATCAGGCAATAATAATTTTTATTTTATTATTTCAATTTTCCATATTCCCCTTCGACTTACTTGTTCTATGTGCACCTGCGATGTACTTTTTCGTGTTATTTTTCTTCACAGCCACAATCCCGAATTTCGTGCATCGATTGTAGCAACGCATCTGACAGACATTAGGAAAGGTTCTGTCCCCGCGATCTCGATCCCGAGCACAAATCACGAGTGATCCATCGCCCTCGCTATCTTCCTTATCAAGAAGCGTCGATTGGGAACGATCGGCAGTTTGGTTGGCCTGAGCAGCTAATGTTTCGCTCTCTTGGCAAGGATGACAATTGCAGACAGGATCGACGATCTCATTCGTCGCCATAAGTACGCATTGTAAAAGCACTGAAAAAAAAGGTGTATCACACTAAAAAAAAAAAAGTTTAATATTGAAAACTTGAAAATTTCAATATAAAATACTCGAATCGTATATCAGCCCCGTATTTATTATGTAACAATAATATGTAAAACCGCCGTAGATAAAGCGAGGTCAAAATTGTCTGGAAAAATTAAATTTAAATAAATTACGGTAGCCACTGTCGGTCACTGAAATTCGTCCGTTTGATCTCACGTAAAGGGCCATCTCTTCATAATGCTTAAGCACTCGCATAACGAGACTCGGGACCAGAAGGAATCACGAAGTAAATTAGACGTAACAGTTGTCGCGTAATGTAGCCAAAGCACGGAAAATTTTCTCGAGATCTCCATGACAAGAATGCCGGATCATCTCGTATCTGAATTCAGACCACGAAAAAGGTAGAGCCAACTTTGAGAATCCAGCTGGCTAATGCAGCAAAGCCTTGTCAAAACAGCAATCTACATTCCTCGGTTGGATACACTTCCTGCTATACGTAATACTCACTGAACCAAAGAATGACGTATAACAATTTCATGGCTGACACGCCGGCACCCCGAAGTACGAGAAAGTAACAAAAAAAAAAAACGGAAAAAAAAAATGAAAAGGGACAACTTCAGGTTACAAGTGGATCAACCAATTTTACCAGAGACACTTTGATTTGTACTAAATCTCCTTTCTGTTTTAATGTTCTGTCTCTCTCTCTCTCTCGCATAGGGCGCGGAGACGAGGGGGGAAGGTTATCTCGAAGAGCAAGAAAAAAAGAAAGGTCCAGTGACGTACCTACGTCGGGACGCTTGAGGATTTACATAATTTTTCAATAATGATTGATAATTCACAATGACGCATTGTGATTGTATTGTCATCCAAATTTCATCCAGAACGTGAGCGTTATTGTTGCTTCAGGAACATTGGGTAAGAGGGTAGACTTCGATACGGGGTGTTTGCGGTCGTTGTTGTGGCCCAGTGAAGGGGGAGACTGAACAGTGGACTGACAGACCTAGGGTAGAAATGGGGAGGGGGGTGGTTCAGCAGGAAGTACAAGATATAGAACGAGAACAAATGGTACGGCAATGCTTTACGCTCGACTACCCCTTCGATTTCTTGTATTGTAACAGCATCCGTTCAACCCTTCCAAAGGACCAAGGGTAGAAAATGTCAGCTTGATGTAGACGAGGCGAACAATATCATTCTTAGGATTACAATATCGTACTTTGAGAATGGGACAGATAGAGGATGTCCAATGTCCCCATTCTTACTATTCGGACACGTTTCCAATGGAACGAATAAATTTGTTGTGGTTCCGGGAAAAAAAAAAAAAAAAAAAAAAAAAAATGTCGTAGGGAACCGTGATTTAGTACATACGGCATTGGCTACACTATATCAGTGTAGAGAAGCGTAGTAACCTCCGATCCCCCTGAAGAGAGAAAAACAAGAGTGTAAAAATCATCCGCCAAAAAAAAAAAAAAAAAAAAAAAAAAAAAAAAAAAAAAAAAAAAAAAATTGTCGTAGGGAACCGTGATTTAGTACATACGGCATTGGCTACACTATATCAGTGTAGAGAAGCGTAGTAACCTCCGATCCCCCTGAAGAGAGAAAAACAAGAGTGTAAAAATCATCCGCCAACGCGTCATTGGTACAGTGATTTCTATTTTGTAATTTGATAAAAAAAAAAAAAAGATATATATGTATGTCAGGGATATAAAGTGATATCTCTGACAGACGAATCGGCTGATCAGCCGGTAGAAATTTCATTGAGGGGAGTTTACAATAATTTATCACTGACCTTCGCAAACGTCAATTTTAAGTATTGATACTATAAATTCCGGTACACAGGTGGCTGGGATAATTAAGTGTAAAAGTCTGACGCATCGACGTAACCTCGAATCGTTAAGACGAACGCGGAACGAGACGCCAAGCTCAGGCTGGTTATTGTCGCATTGAAACGCTGAAAGCGCGACGATTAAAGTTCCCTGATTGCGAGTTACATTATATCATTGAATTAAAGCGTTTATTCCGTCGCTAGTATAGAAATCAGACGGAATCGCTAATTTCGTAGCTTCCCGATAGAATCGCAGAGAAACGTTCCAGCGTTCCAAAAGCTTCGGATTCGCTTCGTTAAATCAGTCCGACAATGGCGCCACCGTAGCTTCATGATAATAATGCCTCGACTTATGAACTAATTTGCATTTTAATGCGCGATTCTATTGTTTGAGGTTATTGCTGCGCGAAGGCTAAGTGCTACAAGCAGAAAGCTTCGAAGGGTTCAAAAGTAGCGTCGATTTGTTACGCGGTATCAGTGATTTTTAAGTTCGAAAGAACAATGTAGCCCGTGCGAGAGGTGTTCGTTGTTTTATTTTTGGAACTTTTTTTCATTGTTTTTACGCTCATACCAAATTCACTTTCACGATCTCAAATGGAATTGGAGCGACGCAACTCTTTCAGCTGGAAGGTAATCGCATTGAAAATTTACCAATGAAACACCTAACCTACCCTCCTACATTAAATATATATATATATATATAGACGCATATATACGAAATTTTCTAATTAGATGCGTTTTCGACACCCGTTGACATTTACGTCACATCCTGACATTTTACACGTTGGCCCACGCTGTTTGGATATATTAGTTTCTCCACGCTCGTTTCACACGATAATGTTAAAAAGCCAAGATACGACTTATTCGCGACATAAAAGAAACGTCCCTCGTCGTAGGCAAATGTTAATGGCGTAATTTCATATTATATACACCAGGCGACGTATGCGTACAGGGGCAAAGATACGACGCACCCCGTGCGTATTCGCAGGGGTCGTTGGAAACCCCTTTATTATTTTGTCATAAACTTTTTTTTTCTAAAATTCCTAACCGAACGAGATAAATCGTTATTTTAGGTTATGCTAACATTTTTCTTCTCCGGATTACGTCACGTGACGTTTCATGACGATTTAAAAATTGATAATGACGTTTCAGCTTGTCGTATTGATTTAACGTCGATCGATCGACAAACAAATTCGCGTTATACCGCCGACACTTTTACCCGGAGAGTTTTCAATTTTACGTCCGCGAGGTTCGACACCATTATGCGCAGCAGCGTCGAACAGTGGACGAGGGTGAGTTCAGGGGTCAGCGGACGGAAGATTGTCAATCAGTACCAGCTATCTAGTCTTGATTACAGTTCTGCTATCTATTCATCTGGTTCGCGCAATGTGTACCAGACCTCGCGAACTATGACCCCGCGTTTAATTTACGTCACTGCAACAGATGCAATTATACGTCAATATTTTTTTTTTTTTTTTTTTTTTTTTTTTTTTTTTTAAGGGAAACGTTGCCATAAATTTTCTCGATTCCCATTTTCGACTTTTATTCCGTCGAATGGTTTGCCGCACGAAGCATCGGCAAACTATCGCGAACAGACTATAGCCATTCATTTGGATACACGGTGGATGAGTAATTTTCAAAAATTTATCCCGGAAATACCTGAAATTTCATAAAGTCAACCCTTGAACCCCGTCCCACCCTTACAATATATATGTATATATACCCGCACCTCCATTCAATCCATCATCCACTGCAATTCATTGTTATCTCCAATCTGCCTTCATTCCGCCGTATTCACATTTTCGCCATATACGAACCTTTGGAAAATTGGATTAAGCCCCATTCGAACTTGCGCAATCGCAGCCTACGGAGCCAAGCCAAGATAAGCTGCATTCGATTGAAAAAAACAACGCGCGTTCCCCGGCATAAGACATACGGATATCCGAATGCTCAAAGCAATTTCAAAATTTTTCGGCACGCATGCTTCGTTAATAATTTGCCAAAAATTCAAACGTGTCTCGCGAAATCTCCTACGTATTCGAAAAATCGTGTCCCTCGTACGAATTGTGAGATATCCAATTTCCATGAAAAGAAAAAAATAAAAAATTTCTTACCGCGTCATCTACATACGTAACCACTCTCATTAACCTCTTATCGCAGAACGACCATAACGAAAATGTACGAAGGTCAATATATTGCCGCACGTGTTACGAGAGTCACAGTTACCACGTGTCCACGTGGTGGTTACGTGGCGTAAAAATTGACGTGGGGCTGGAAAATGAATGAGTCCACGTGTCCACACACGGTCATCGTTCTTTCACACGAGCCGTTCTTTACATATTCGCGCCTCACAGGATCTCCTGAAACGATCCCGTACGTGAGGTCGAGGGTCACGGAGATTACCTACGCATATGTGTTGCGTAGGGTGACACGTGTCGAAGTAAGGAGAGAGCGCGAGTGCCATGAATAGGTGAATGAATAAATTGACCCTGATTAAAAAAAAAAAAAAAATAATCGATATACGTAAATAGGGATGATCGATGAATCAGTAAGATAAAATTATATCTGAGACTCAACAGGTGATCTAATAAAAAATTGATATCGAGCTTTTAATTAGCCCGACGTGTACGTCGTCCGCGTATAAAATAAAAGCTGATGTTAATGATTCGGGACAACCCTGGTAATAAGGGTGATCAGAGGGTTAGGCGAGGTCAGATTAAACCTGCTTGCTGATGAGTAACGTTCATTACAGTAGCATCAGCCCGGATGACGTATGTGCAAGGATGCCGAGGTAATCCTACATTGATAAGTGGAATCCTGCATATCAACGTATTTACGTGGAATATCCGCGAATCTCTGCTATCACTGTATTCGGCATGTTAAATCCTACTTGTGCGACAGCCAATAGCTTTCTCCACTGATATCATCCCGATCGACATTGATTGGGTGAAACGTCAAAATTCTCCAAAGGGACTGATCGATATTTGTTTTTTGACTCGAACCAAGTGCCTTCGAAAATATATCGAATTAACAAATTTACTCATATACGTAATCAATAGTTACACGTAAAATCATATACGATTAAGGTATAACGTGGTGGCACGTATAACGGGAAGCCTTAGATTTTCGTTACGCCCTCCTATTACGTAATTACAATAATTAAGTTTTGACGTCTTAATAATTAATGTATAAACACACGTAGGAAGTTCCTGTATTTTGTTAACGCGTCAAATATTTTCTTCTGTCCGAGCAGCTACTCGCGACGCTCTATATGTTTATAGCTAATGGACCGACTTCCGGCCGAGCTTGTACCCTCCTAAGCGTCTAACGATCCGCCCCCGAAGGATCCCCAAGGCGCTTAAAAGCATCGAGTATAAAATTACGAGACTCGAGCGTCTATGACGTCTAAGATCGGATAATATCGTGTTAACGAGAGTTTCATTCGAGGAAACTTGAGCCGGATATTGATTCTGGCAAGTCGCAAGGCAGATCTATCGGAGCGCGCGAGGACCCGTTCCAAATGATGAATTAGCGTAGGGCTCACAAGTTTTCGGCGTCGCTACTCGTATTACGCGATTATATGGAAACTGCAAAACTAGCTAAAACGTATGGCAAACAGACTCATCGTTAATAACCATCAGAATCAACAAGCCCGACAAGAGGTAACTCG